GGGGGGGGGGTTCGACTGTAAATATAAAGACCCGAAGCGCAGCGAGTCTCCGACCATGTGTTTAGAGTTACAGCTCTGTAAATGTATTCCTATCGCTGCTCAGATACTGTGTCCACACTGACATTTGATTATTAAATGTCAGCTCCCTCCAAAATAAGAGCTTTCAAAAACAGTCACATCAACTGATTTTATTTTGAAAGTCAGAGTTTGTTGAAGCTGATGAAACCAGATTTAAAAACACTTCCTGTCATCTGTGTTCATTCAACTGACATCATGCAGTTCATCTTCTCACCAGCAGAGGGCCACAAATCACCATCCATGAAAAGTTCAAGGACATGTAAGTGACATCAGAGCTGTACATATTGATCTGATCAATATGGAAGTTTCTTTGATTGGATCAGTTTTTAAAAGCAGCTGTTTTTATAGAATGACGGAAACATGAGATATTCTGAATGCCTTTAATATTTGATACACTGAGCACTACTGGATGTCCACTTATTCCGCCATGATGGAAAAATCCCATTAAGAAAGAGAAATCAGACATTTGGATTCATTTTAATGAGCTCAGGCTTGTTGGAAATGCAGAGCAGCTGTGCCTGACTGAACGAGGACCATCATGACAGCAGTCCAAAACCCAGGACTGATCATTGTCTCCACACAGTCTTCACTGTCTCCTTCCTTCTGTAATTCACTGATATATAAACGTCTTCTCTCCACTCGACCTCCCAGTAACAGCGACCAGTCAGACCATTTCTACACAGCAGATGAAGAAAAACAAATCTGATCAGGATATGACTGAAGCTCCTTCACACGTGTCACCTTCCTGTTGTTGTCAGACAGTTGGAGCTTTGTGTTCACTGTGTTTGTGTCGATTGTGAGTTGACAGGAATCTGATGGAGAGAACAAACACAATCCAGCTGCAGTTATTGATCCATCATCTGTTCATTGATTGACACTTTGATGATGACTCCTGACATCAGACATGTGACAGTTTGAAGATGGTTGAATGAGTGCTGCTTTGTTTTCATGAATCACATTAAAAACACACTTACACTTCCTCACAAGACCCACATAGGTCAAATATTATCTTCAAGTATATTAATGGAAGTTTGTGCCACTTGCTGTATGAACACATGTTGATCAATACTGTTTGAAAATGTAGTAATTAGGATCAGTAAGTAACCTTTAATTGTGTTATGGCCAACGGTGACTAGTCCAGATATGGGTTTAAACAGTGTTATATGAACAGCAGAAACCAGTACATTTATAGCAAAAATAACACATAGAAACCATGCAAAGCAAACGAAAGCGAAGCAACCGTGTAGAGCCTTAAAGCACAAACAGAAAAGACACACAAAAAGACGGACAGGAAAAAGCAGCAGTCCGGGTCAAATCGACCTCTTATATACGATCAGTGACCCCTCCTCCTGCTGTTGGGTACCCTTTAATCCTTTGTTCTTTCTTTTCATCTTCCACTTATGATACATAACTTTCTGGCCCTACCACATAACTTCCCGAGAACCAGTCTTACATCCATCATTGAACCTGGTCCCTTTGTCAGTTTGCAAAACGGCAGTTAACAATTCAACAATTTGACAATTATTTCGGGTGCGCATGCCAAAAGTAAACTGCTGTCTATGCTAAGAAAGGGTTTTTTCTCAGCTTCTGGCAGCTGAGGTGGGAAAACAGAACCCCAGGTGCACGACGGTGGGGCCAGGTTTGTTTAACGTATCGGCAATGGAAGGGCTGGACACAACGTGGGGCGGTACAGATAATTGCAGATGAACACCGAGGAAGGGTTAATAATCTCTATTCTAAGAAATCTACTCTTTTCCAGAGGATCTTTTTGAGTGATTTGATTTTAATTGGATCTGAAAAGCTGGGCTATCATAAAGGCTATCATACTGGCTTTAAAGTTTGTGACCCAACAGCACTGCAAAAAGGAAACACCTTTGAAAATGGAAAAGAAGAAAGGTTTTTGTCCTGATTTAGAACAGAAACCACACATCTTTAAAAAGACCATGATACATTCTGAATAGGTAACCAGTCCATCACCGGACACCAGACAGAGAAACAAATGCTTTCACAATCTTCAAATCGCAATTAACTTGGAAACCACCTCAGACACTGTGCAAACTTCAAGATAGACTCGGAAGTTACAACCCTAGACTTGTTGCATTTATGCTCAGTTACCTGCATAGTTACATACTTGAAAATGCCCTCAGTTACACTTTGTTCTTGATGCTAATATTAGGATTGCATAATGCATTGTACAACTGTGTTGTGAGCTACAGGTAATGGTCAAAACACTAACTGAGAAATTGTTTCCACTTTTCTATTCAAAGAATGATTATTAAAACAGCTTTTGTTTCCCAAAAAGCTTCTTTGAAACACTTTTCCACACTGCCAACAACTCTATTCTTTAACTTGATTAGTGTCACAGTGGAATATAACAAAAGTCTGGTGGAGGCCTGAATAGACAATACAGAGATGCCTTTATATTTGTGCTCTGCGCATCTAACACTTGTCATATAATGCGTGACACTGTCTGTAGGCATTTGGTTTGTCATCCATGTCTGTCAGTTAGGCTTTGCTGAAGACAGATGTGGTTCTGAACAGACTAAGAAAAAACTTTACTGTCATGTTTTAACATATTTCACAAAGGAATATATAAATAAATAAATAAAGTGGTGGGAGATGGAGAAGTTTTCAAGTACAGTGGTTGCTTATTTTAAGGCACTAAGGCTTGTGAGACAAACAAAGAGAGCTTCACACAAAGCATGCTGTGTTTCTCCAAATGCAATGCTTCCAAATTGTGTTTAAGTGTGTTTATCTTTATAGAAACCAGTTTGATATGGTGCCTGGTCGTTTCACAAACCTTTAAAGGCCTTTTTGGTTTTAGGGTTGAGGTTTAATTTGGGTTAAGGCTGGGTTAAGCAGTGAGTGCAGCTGTTGTCAATCAGTGTCCCCTCAAAAGATCCCCATACAAACAAACAAACAAACAAACAAACAAACAAACAAACAAACAAACAAACAAACATTTGGTGTCTTAAATAGAGAAAAGTAAGACAATGTATATCAATGTGTATGAGCAGGGCTGCTGATGGGTCCAAGCAGACAGATACTGTGTGATCAGACTGCTTGAGTGACACTCACAGAGGCCTCAGTATTCT